ATTAGCTTGTTCCACCAGACGCTTCATGTATTTCTTCGACTCCACAATCGCCACCTCCTTCTTATCTGTTAAATATAAAAATATTTCTACTTTGATGTGTGTATATTTCCTTAAATCAAAGTTAGAGATAAGATAAAAGATTAAATACTCATCGAGGCAGACATTTGTGCATAACTCAGGGTTACACTGAAGCAGTTGTCTACATTTGGTAATCATCGGTAATCATCTGTGGTTTCATGACTATGCCTCTTCATTTCCATGCCGTACACCTGACTCACTCATTTTGGGTTCAATCGCCACCCTGGGGGTCAGGAACAGGAACTCGGTGCTGGCAACTCCAGTATAATACACCACACTCCCGCTGATGTAGGCGTCCACAGTGCGGCGCTCATCGCTCTTGTTTATGAACTCCACGTTCAGCTCAAAGTTGTCACCCACGCTGATCTCCAGGTTGGGCAGGATCACGTCCACATCAGCTGTGGGAGGGCTGGACTTCTCTCGTTTGCAGCCATACTCCTCTGCTTTTTCCAGGACTGTCCGCTCCTCTGTGCTGCCTGTGTTGGGCGTTTGAAATACATTAGTGTGTTTGTATATTAACAGAATAAATTCTGATGTCCTTTTTTATTTGCTTTGCATTTTTAAAATGGTCTTGTCTCAGAATTGTCTAATCTTTGCCCAGTTTGTGATAAATGAAGCACCAGGAGTCTTTTGGTCCAGAGTACCAACTGTGGTTAAAAACAATACAGCATGATGCCAAATGGAGCTGATTTTCAAATGAAAAGAACTCAAATTCACAGTGTTTTCCTAAAAACACTGCCTAATCTGGCAACCGTATTGGAGTTCATGATGCCCGACAGCATTCAAGAGTGCCAACAATGAGCTGTTCTCCCGTTTGAACTTGCCACCTGGCATTTCAGCTTCAAGGATTTAAACACTGACTTAGAGACTGGCGGGGCAGGGTAATCCATCACTGTAAAAATTAAGCCTAACAGTGTGTTTCTGCTCAAGTGTTTCCATTTTCTTTACTTTTTCTCATCATTATTTCATGATGTCAAGGTGACTGCATTCATTTTGCACATTTTAAAGCTGCTCCTTCATTTACTGTGGCATTCTGAGCTCAGGCTCCAGCACAGAAAACAGATCTGCTGCTTCCTGAAACACTGACATTTGTGTTCGATGTAGTCCCTGACCTTCAGCAAATTTGTATTGATCTGTAATGTTGCGGCGGGTCACATCTCCCGGAGATTTGGTCAGAACCAGGCGGCCTACGTGAGTTCGGTTCACTCTGACTGGCTCCATGGTCCCATCTTTCCTCCGGGAATGAAACACCACATCACTGTTAATCTGTAGAAGGAAAGAAATAGGCACTGTAAAAACAAATACTGTGTGCCTTCTGTCATCAAACTGCCTGGTTATTGGTCATAAAACACAACAACCAGCGAGCGACGTCATTAAATACAAACACATTCTCAGTAATTCTAGAAAGAGAGTAATTCAAAGGCATTCACCTCGGCAAACACGAACGCAGCGTCAAATGGGAAGCAAATCTGTCCGTGCTTGATGGCCTGGACTGACGCAGGTCCACATCTGTACATGCCTTTATGGATTACAAAGGAAAAATCAAAAAATCAGTGTGACTCAAAGCACAGAAAACATTTGCCTCTCCTTTTACATTGCTTTGACCTAACCCTACAGTATTGGGAAAACCAAGGGAGGAGATTATAGAATTCCCTAACCTTATTAATTTGGGAATCCTCGCTAAATTTTTGCTCACCATCACTGGTCTCCTGTGGTGTTGCATCCACAACCTGCCAGCCCCCAAAGCCAGGAGGGAGGTCAGGTCTGGACATGTAGCACTCGTTCCAGCAGTGATAGTTCCTGACAAAAAAAGAAACAGTGGTAAATATATAATCCAGTTTAGTTTGTATCTAATAATTTAATTTAGGTATATTTTCAGAATCAATTACTTAATCTTGATTATCTGGTGCTCCTGCGAGAATACTGTAAATTTATTTCTCAGTAAATTTTGTTGCAATTCTCTGGAGAACAAAAAAATCTGATTCTGAGTACTACCGTTTGAAGTGTGTTAACAGACACCTACCAACAGGAGCGCAAAACATGTAGACCAAGGTAAGTAAAGAAATCTCAGGATATCTGTTAAATGGAAAGTTTCAGTACCAGATGGAGTCCCTGGTTCTGTTTCGATCGATCCTGCCGTTTTCATCCATGATTATGTCAGTCTTCAAGTTTCCATCGTTGTCGTGAGCTGAGTAGTAGTTGGTGACGACCCGAGATGGGATGCCCAGGCAGCGTAAGACTGAAATGCAGAGGCAGAACTTCAATCAAATCAAAAACAAGGGCGGGAGTCAAGAGCTTAAGAGATGTGGTTGTAAACTGAGTGAGCTGGTGCAGAGTCAAAGGAGACTGTATGTAAAAGGCATCCACTGTGACATCAACCAATGATGAGCAGACATCATGTTTAAACCCCCAAACTGAGGATTTTG